CCTTTCAGAATGATTCCTGGTTTCACACCTTAAGAGATTAGGCCATGAAGTCTTAGTTTTGATTGTGTCCTCTCTGAAAAGATGGCAGCTCTTGTCCCAGTGCCCCTCCAGTAGGCTTCTGAATGGGGGAGATTGGTGAGATGAGAAGGGGGACCCAACAGAGAGCGTGGGAGAAGTCAACAGAGGGAGGAAGATCAAAGGGGAGAGGTTCCAACTTCTGAAATACTGGGTTGAGCTGAGGCTTGTGTTGTTAGATCAGAGAGGGGCTTTTCCAGGCAAAGCCAGGACAGCAGGCTGGCCGACAGGAATCTAAGGTGCCCCAGGAGGTGGAATGGGAGCGAAGCAACCTGACCCTCAGGGACTAGATGGCGGAGCCGGCAGTCTGACAGGGGCAGTTGGCTTTGATTCCAGATCGCCTTTTTTTTTTTTTTTTTTTTTTTTACCATGGTAATATGTTATTTTTATATTTATTTAAAATTTTTTTTTATCTTTATTGGAGTACAATTGCTTTACAATGGTGTGTTAGTTTCTGCTTCATAACAAAGTGAATCAGCTATACATATACATATGTTCCCATATCTCTTCCCTCTTGCGTCTCCCTCCCTCCCACCCTCCCTGCCCCACCCCTCTAGGTGGTCACAAGGCACTGAGCTGATCGTTTGGTAGTGTATATATGTCCATGGCACTCTCTCACTTTGTCACAGCTCACCCTTCCCCCTCCCCATATCCTCAACTCCATTCTCTAGTAGGTCTGTGTTTTTATTCCTGTCTTACCCCTAGGTTCTTCATGACATTTTTCCCCCCTGAGATTCCATATATATGTGTTTGCGTACGGTATTTGTCTTTCTCTTTCTGACTTACTTCACTCTGTATGACAGACTCCAGGTCCATCCACCTCACTACAAATAGCCCAATTTTGTTTCTTTTTATGGCTGAGTAATATTCTATTGTATGTACATGCCACATCTTCTTTATCCATTCATCCGATGATGGACACTTAGGTTGTTTCCATCTCCTGGCTATTGTAAATAGAGCTGCAACGAACATTTTGGTACATGACTCTTTTTGAATTATGGTTTTCTCAGGGTATATGCCCAGTAGTGGGATTGCTGGGTCATATGGTAGTTCTATTTGTAGTTTTTTAAGGACCCTCCATACTGTTCTCCTCAGTGGCTGTATCAATTTACATTCCCACCAACAGTGCAGGAGGGTTCCCTTTTCTCCACACCCTCTCCAGCATTTATTGTTTCTAGATTATTTGATGATGGCCATTCTGAGCGGTGTGAGATGATACCTCATTGTAATTTTGATTTGCATTTCTCTAATGATTAATGATGTTGAGCATTCTTTCATGTGTTTGTTGGCACTCTGTATATGTTCTTTGGAGAAATGTCTGTTTAGGTCTTCTGCCCAGTTTTGGATTGGGTTGTTTGTTTTTTTTGTTATTGAGCTGCATGAGCTGCTTGTCAATTTTGGAGATTACTCCTCTGTCAGTGGCTTCATTTGCAAATATTTTCTCCCATTCTGAGGGTTGTCTTTTGGTCTCGTTTATGGTTTCCTTTGCTGTGCAAAAGCTTTGAAGTTTCCTTAGGTCCCATTTGTTTATTTCTGTTTTCATTTCCATTTCTCTAGGAGGCGGGTCAAAAAGGATCTTGCTGTGATTTATGTCATAGAGTGCTCTGCCTACGTTTTCCTCTAAGAATTTGATAGTGTCTGGCCTTACATTTAGGTCTTTAAGCCATTTTGAGCTTATTTTTGTGTGTGGTGTTAGGGAGTGTTCTAATCTCATACTTTTACATGTAGCTGTCCAGTTTTCCCAGCACCACTTACTGAAGAGGCTGTCCTTTCTCCACTGTACACTCCTGCCTCCTTTATCAAAGCTAAGGTGACCCTATGTGCGTGGGTTTATCTCTGGGTTTTCTATCCTGTTCCATTGATCTGTATTCCTGTTTCTGTGCCAGGACCACACTATCGCCTTTTTACTTTCCGTTGCCATTGCTCTCCCTGCAACCTGCCCTCCCTTCCCTGCCGGTGTGGTGGAGGATGCGTGGCTTGGATGCCCATCTGGGGGTTCACTAGAGAGGCCAGAACTGGGGATGGCAGGAGGAGGAGGAAGGGAGAAGGTGAAGCTTCTACGCTGCCCAGGAGCAGATGCTCAGATAGAGCAAGTGCTGGGCCTGGGCTGGCCGGCTGGCCTTTGGGACCACCGTGGTCCCTTCAGTGCAGCCTCTCTCAGCTTCATCCCTGTTCCAGGAGGGTGGCTGAGAGTAGGAGCTCCTTCCACCCAGCCCAGCCTCCCCTCTTGGTTTTGATCTCCGGAAGGGAAAGCCCCAGCCCCTCTTTTGAAGCAGCAGCCGGCACCACTCGTCTCTTCTCTCCTTCTCTCCTTCCCGCAGGCATTTCTGTTCAGAGTGCTGCCTCTTGCTGGCTCCTTCTGCTTCGGCTTGGTCCTCCTGCTGACTGGGAAGAAAGTGCACCAGTGGGGTGATGGGGCGGGGGTCTGGAACTCTTAAAGGAACAGCTTTCTTTCTATTGGAAATTTATTTACCTTTCTATTGGAAATTTATTTACTAGCACAGATTTTTTTTCTGTCTTCCTCCAATCAGTATAATCTGGGGAGAAAAGTGAATCCGATACAAAGCGACCATAATCACCATTTAAATGTTAATTGTAGATGTTCTGGTTTTCCTCTAAAGGTTTTCAAGCAGGTCAAGCACTAGCCCAGGCGACAGTCATTATTAGCAGTCAAACCCAGTTTGAGGGAATTGAGGGAAGTTAAGGTTGGGGGCCACAGATTTGAGCAGGGCAGTCCCTGCCGCCCCAAGGGCTCAGAGTCTAGGGCTGAAGACTTGGAACTCCACGAGGAAAAAAGGCACAGAGATAATTTGAAGATCCCTGGCACCATTTCTGCCAATAGCTCTTTTGCCCTGGAGTCTTTGACCAGAGGAGCTTACAAGTAGCCAAAGAGACAAGGCAATTTGAAATGTAGTCTTCCCTTGTCGCCCATTGGTTGATCTGCAGTCAGTTAGCTAGTATTTGTTAAGAACTTGGCCCTCTGCAAAATAAATAAACAAAGCAAAGCCTCATCGGATGCCAAAGTTGCAGAATCTTAGTGTCTTGTTTCTGTATGTTCGTGACATGCTTTTTTCCCATATAAAGAATATGAAAGAGACCAAACTCTGGGCCCCTTCAAGCTCAGATTCTGAAGCCCTCCACCTCTTGGAGCTGCAGCACCTTCTACTGGGTTCAGCTCTACCTAAATGGGCTTCCCAGATTCTCAGTTCCAATGTCAGTTCCCCCGTTAGGAGAAATGTCAGCTCCTGGGCAAATTACCTGGTCTCAGTGCCTCACTTTCTTCTGGAAAAACAAAGCAAAGAAAATCTATTTGGGTGAATTTGAGAATATGAGATAATATTAGAGAAGCATATTCAAACAGAAAGGAGAACACCAGAGTAGCAAGAGCTACATGGCACCGCGATCAAGCCTCTGTCTTTTACAAAATGAGCCTCAGCGAAGAGACTTACTCGCTCAGTCACACAGAGAACCAATGACAGTATCTGACACAGTCAGAACCCAGCTCTGTCAGTGCTCAGTCTACTGCTGTTTCTAAGAGGGTCCTCACCTTAGGCTCTCAACAATGCACCAATACTATTTTGCTTGCACGACGACATGAAGAAAGCAAAGAAGAGGTCGGGGACTCCAGGGTATTCCTGTTCCTGAAGTGTCAGACCCCGGCCCCGCCCCTTCCAACACCGCTTTCTGGCGTCAGAGGCCAGGAAGCCTTTCCCCAAGGGCATTGGCTAAAGGGATCCACCCGATCCTGGACCACCAGTGGAGGCTGAAGGGAGGGAGGAAGCTGCACGTGGAGAGAGATTCCCCGGCCAGAAGGGAGACAGGCAACCAGAGGGTGGGATAGTGGGACACACTCAGCGGATTTCCCATTTTCCAGAGGAGGAAAGTGCAGAAGCCCTCCGCCCAAGGCGCGCGGTGGTTGTGCGGAGAAGGTGGTAGTGCAACCCAGTTGCCCAGCGTCCTAATCCGGAACCCAAGGACCACACATGTTGGTCCTCGTGCCTACCCTTGCAGCCTACAGAATCCAGGGCCCAGAGCTTGCGGACCTACTAGGTGCGCAACGCGCCCTGCAGCCCGGCAAGGCACTGCGGCATGCCTGGCCGGCCCGGGTGCGGACGCGCGGCGCCGCGGGGACGGTGAAGGTGACCGCCTTCTCCTTCCTGGCCCCGAGTGCTCTGCGCTGCGGGGCCGAGGGATGCTCGGGTCCACCAAAGTTTGCTCCAGTACTCGGGGGCCCGAGGAGCGTCCCCGGGCAGGGACTGCTCGCGCCGCAGCGGGGGTCGACCCCCATCCCCGAGGCAGTTTGTGCGCTCTTTTCTGGTTCCGAAGCGTAACTCCCAGTTGTGGGAGGAGGTAGGGGTTCCGAGAGAGGGTCTCCTTCCCGAAGCCTGCCTCCTGGCCCCGCCGGCCACCCTCCCGCATCCCTGCAACTGCCCCTCCGGGCGGAACCCGGGCCCGGCTCCCCAGTTCTGCGGCCGCTCCCACCAGCGGAGGGATTTTGACAGAGGGGGGGTCCCGGGCGGCGCGCGAGGGCGGAGCGAGCCCCTGCCAGATCCGGGGATGATAATGTGCCGGCTCCATGTCGCGGCTTCGGGCTGTCCAGGCTCCGCCCCCTGTGAGTGTGTAAGTGTGTGATGCTGCCGCGGCCGCCGCCGCCGCCGCCGCCTGTGCAGCCGCCGCCGCCGCCGCTGCCGCCCCGGCTGCCGCGCCGCGCCGCTGCCGCTGCCCCGGCCGCCGCCGCCGCCGCCGCCGCGCGCGGGCAGCCGCGGACCGAGCGGAGCCGAGCGGGCGGCCAGGCACTTGCCCGCCCGGTGCCGCCGCCGCCGCCGCCGCCGCCCCAGAGCGCAGGACCCGGCACCTCCGGCGCCCGCCGCCGCCGCCGCCGATGCGGCCCGGGCACTTTTAGCCGGGCGGGAGGGCCGGAGAGCAGCGAGCGAGCCGCGCCGAGAGCCGCGCAGACCCGTCGCCAGCAGGGACGGACGCCCGGCCGCCGCAGCCGCCCGGCCGCTATGGATCTGTTCGACTTTTTCAGGGACTGGGACTTGGAGCAGCAGTGGTAGGTGTTGATTTTTGCCTTCTCCTTGGCTGCGCGGGTCCCTGGGCCGGGGCTGGGCTTTTCGCCTTTGTTAAGAGGAGCCGGGGTTTGGTGGGGCGCCCGGGACGCCTTCCCACTTGCTCTTGGCCACCTCTGGCCCCGGCCGCCGCGACTCCTCGGTCGGGTGCCCGGGTGCGGGGAGGTGCGGACCGAGGTAGGGATGCAGGTCCCGAGGGCGTCGCTTGACACTCCTAGTCCAAAGAGTTGCGTCTGGCCCAAATCGGATCCGGTGCTGCCCGGGGGCTGAGGCGCGCGACCTCCGCCGGGATTTTCTCCCCGAACGGCTGGCCGGGTGGCCTTCCCAGCGCACCAGATGCTGCCCGCCCGAAATGCCCCCCAACTTTCCAGGTGCGGCCGCGGGGGGCAGGCAGCGGCGAGGTGCCACCGGCGGCCCTCCGCTTCCTCGGCGGCCACCGCCCCCGCCGCCACCCCGGTCCCCGCACGGCGCGGCGCGCACACCTTCCCTGCCACCCGCTCGGCCCAAGTTCCCCGCACTCGGGCGCCGAGCGGCGGCTTCGGGGGCCACCGCGTGGGGGACACCGGGTCCGGGCCGACCGCGGCGTCTGGCTTTCCGGACTGAGGGTTTTTGAAGTTGGCCCCTAAAGTTGGCCGCTCCGACGTCAACGCACATTTAATTAGCGGCCGGGCCCCCGTCCGCCCCCCCACTGGGAGACAGCCGCAGGTTTGTGGGTTTAATGGGCACCCAGCTCGGATTCACGGGTTTAGTCGGCTCTTCCCCAGATACCGTCAGCTTGTCCCCGAGAGGTTTGTGAAAGATGGTGCAGAGGTGACTGGGGAGCCGGAAAGTTGTTAGTCTGCGTGATGCGCGCGCGCGTGTGTATAAATAGATATGCGTATCTATTAACTTTTACAGAAGCTTCACCTCCTGCACCAACGTTATCACTGTTAATTTGTCATAACATTCTAACGTATCGATTTCCCCCCACAGCCTATGGAATTAGACGGGGGCGGGGGGGAAGGCGCGGCGGCAGCGACTTCGAATTGCACTCTTGGCTATTGCCTTTTCAAATGTAGTTGGAATAATCTATAGCAGCGACCGACAGTGCGAAATCTTTTGCAATGTTAAACTACTGGCAGCCGTTGACGCTGAATGCTGTGTATTTTTACAAGGATTTCCCTTTGCTGATGTGATATTTTAGGCAAATCTCCTTCTTTAGAAAAGGGTCATACTCATAGCCAGTAGCTTCATCATGCCAATCATGACTCCTTTAGTTGCAAATCCAAGATAATCAGAACTTAAATACATTTTATTTTACAGCGATTCCGGGTAAATCCTTGAAGCCACAAATTACACTGTATCAGTATTAATCTGTAAGGCATTTTGATACCATGCAGGGTTTTATCAGCTCTGCAGAAAAACGGGTTACAGTTTTTAACAACCATGCTGTTGTTATTTAAAAGTAAAGATCACGGTAAAATTACTGCTCAGTTAAATATTACGCTTCTGTATACAGCCTTTACCCTGCTTTGCTAGTTTATTTTGCACACCACTGATAACCACAGCATTACTCTTTGCATACAATTTGCCTAATATATGGTGTGGGTAGCATCATTAATTTAACAGACGTTATAAGTGATTTTGTGGGTGTAGTTGAAATGTTAAACATATGTACAAGGTATTAGGTGTTTAAAAACATGTTTATCATATTGTTTTAATTTCAGTCTGATCTTAGGCACATGCAGTTGCATATTTAAAGGAGGTGGGCTCTTTTAGTTGTGATTTCTTTTTGTCCCTTTTTGGAAACTATCCCTGACTATGCCACATCAGTTAAGAAACATGCAGACTTGGACACTCCGTGGATATTATGTGAAATACCGATGAATTAGTATAAGGCGTCTGCATAAATAAGCTGGCCTTTTCCCTCTGTGCACACGTTCCAGGAAAATTTCTCCTTCTTACTGTTTGATCGTGAGGGGCAAGCTTCCTTATGCATCCGTGTTTGTAAACATTTGCAGTGCGGTTGTGCGCCTGTGTGTTGTACACCCCGACAGAGAAAAGGACCATCAGTGTGAATAGTGGATGAACTAAGAAGCTTGCTATTGCCTTGAATGGAAGTGTATACCTTTCCAAACTCTCTTTGGACATTCAGAGCATGCCAATTACATGTTCATTATATGTTTACTTCCCCTCCTGGGGAGCAAGTAGTTGCTTAGACTGATGGCATCCATTGCTCCCCACCCCTAACTCCCCAGGAGGTCCTAGGAAGCAAAAGGCGCCAGCCAAGTTAAGGATCTCATTTCCATTGGATCTCTTCTCAGCAGTCACTTGTGGAACAGAGAGCTCTGAGCCACCTCTACCGCAACCCTAGATGTCTGACAATAACTGGATCAGGCCAGCTAAAAAACAGACTCATCTTCCAAGACTTAATGAAGAAAGACTTTACAGACACAGGCATCTGTGTCATTTGCAAACACTAGACTACAGTAAGCAAAAAGTGCGTGCCCATTTAGAGACATACACATTTGTCAGGAGGAATGCAGATGGAAAGGATGGGGCACGGGTGACTGCAGTGTGGATGTGCCGAGTCTGGGAGTGCTCGGTGCCTAACGGAACAGAGCCCTGGACTTCACACACCGCAAGAATCTCTTAATGGGTCATGCTCTGGAGTCGATTAAAGGGCCAGAGCTCTCGTTCTTCAAGATTCCTGGGTGAATGAGCAATGTTCACCTGTGTCTGAGTTTAATATGAACCATTCTGTGAAAGAAGAGGAAGGCGCAGATGGCTGTGTGCACCAAAGTCACCACTTGCTCTTAAAAAAAAAGAAATAAAGATAAAGGGAAAAAAATCAAATTTTATCGTTGAAATCACTCCGTAGACTTGTCTGTGGTAACCCAGTAAATGAATTCTTGAGGTGTCTGGAGATCACGTGGCTAGATTTGGACTTGTTTACCAGCAAAATCCGAGGGCCTACCAAGTGCACAGCCTTTCCACCCGGCAAGCACCCGTCCCGTATTGATTAGTTGCTGCTTCACGACAGGCCGAGGTTCTTTGTAGAGATGCTTACTTACCTTCTTTTTATTATTGAAAAAGAAAGAAGGAAAGAAGGGAAGATAGATACAGCAAAGGGCTCATTCTAAAAAATAAAAAGGGAAAAGGGAACCACTGTGATAGCAAAATCACAATGTTCAAAAGCCTGGTGAAAACTGTAGTTAAGCCATTGTGACAGTGGCCGACTTCTCACTGCGAAGGACGGAGGCCGGCCTCCATGGTTTGTAGTTTTTATGTGGTGTCTCCCAAGTAGCCTAATTAGAGGCGAGCTTGCAAACGGGCAGTTATACAGGAAGAGACTTAAACTCACTAAACTGTTATATAAATAGAAAGCTCAAAGGTCTGTGTGGGGCCGTCCAGGCTGGGAAGGGGCCATGTGCGGGCCAGGCTTCTCCACCCCCGGGGCTGCCCCAGCAGCCCCGCTTTCCCCAGTTTCCCTCAGCCATGGGGGGCGGGGACCCTGCTCTCCAGACAAAAGTGAACTGTTTCAGCTCCAGCTGGGCATGGCCCATGCACTGCAGCAGCCCGGCTGCTTCCCCCTGCTCTGTGCGCACAGATCTTGGAGGCCTCCAGCGCTGCAATCCTCCGGAAGAGTGGAAGAGGCCTGTTTATGGATGGGAAGGTCGGGGAGAGACAGGGAACGCAACAACCTTGGTCTACCTGGGGGTGGCGGGAATGTGGAGGGGGCGGGGCGGCGCCTCCAGGTTGCCAGGATTTCTCTTTCTCTACCTCCAGCCATTTATCTTTCCCCCTCCCCCTCTGTTTGTTTTCCACTGCAAGGGAGACAGTCAGTGGTCTTTTTTTTTTGCTGGTACAATATGCACTCTCCGGCTTGTTTGAGCATTCATTCAGCAAAGCACTTGGGCTTGAGTTTCTTAAGGGAGTGTATGGGAGGGCGAGACTCAAGGTGGTGAAATTAGCTAGTGATGAGGCCTCCTCCACACCCACTGAAACCCCCAAAGATAAATGCTGTCCCCGCAAATCTGAAAAGGCACGTCTATTGGACAAGGAAGAAGATTATCTCATGTTAGAAATCAGTTTAATGATACATGAATTGTTCTGCTAATGATTCAGTCAAGCATTTAACAACTTTAAAATATACAAATCAAGATTGAAAACGACTGCCTCAAATATGAATCTGTCATTATAGACATAAACGAGAGTCCAAACATTTAAGTGTTTTGTAGATGGATAAAAAATTATATTGTATTTAAAGATGCTAATTATTGTTGAATAGAAATGGTTTTAATGTGCTGAACCTTTATTTCATGCCCATTATTCTTAGCTGAGACTATTTCTTGCATGAAAAATCTGCACATATTTAACAATTTCAGAATCGTAAAAGCCCAGTAAAATGGCCATCTCTGGAACAATCTAGAAGCTATAGTCCTATGAGCTTATAGCTCATACCTCAGAAAGGGGAACTACCACACACTTGATTAGCCTGTCATGTAGACAAAACAACTGGTACAGTGACTACATTTTTTCACTTTTAATTTTGTCTTTTTCTGATTGCTGTGGGATAAAGAAAGAGATTTTACAAACTTGTTTACTGATAATGGAAAGGAATGTGTTGCTGATTTAAGAACTCAAGACCACAACCTGGAGAAACCTTTTTGAGGAGTGTGTGTGTGTGTGTGTGTGTGTGTGTGTGTGTGTGTGTGTGTTTCACCTGTGTCTGTAGTAGGACGCATCATCGTTGTTGCTACTGTTATTTGGGTGTTTACTCTGTGCCCCAAACATGACAGAGTATAGCTAGTGCTTTAAATACTCAGTCTCACTTAATCCTTCAGACAACTTTATGAGATGGGACCTATTATGATTTCCATTTTTGGATGAAGAAATGGAGGCAGTAGCTACTCAGTGATGCCATTCAGGTTCCAGCCTAGATGGAGCTGATCCCAGAGCCTGCACCAGCAACAACTGACATATTGTCTGAGCCTTTCCAACA